AAGCTTGTTAAAGCAGACTTCAGATAGCTGACTTCCTCTTTAAACTTCTGCTTAAGAGTCATCTACTGTGGCTCCTGTATCTTGCTGGCTGAAGGATCACCTGTTTCCTAGTCTGGATCCTAAGAAGCCCGCTCATCTTCCTTCTATGGCATATACTGGCCAATAGGGTCAACAGGTGAACTTCCATACGGGAGCCCAACATACATCTTCTTCTCCCTCGGCTGTCACTGAGGTCTCAGCTGCTTAGACTTCAGACCCTCTGGTATTTCCCTGTGGCAGAGCTCTTGGGCTGACCTAATCTCCACCGGGCTTAGATAACACTGTGGGTATTATGTTTGCTTTTTTTTTTTTTTTTTTGTTCCCCTCAGAAAGCTCTAACCTATGGATTTGGTGCAGGACTGAGGTCTGGACACCCAGCTTGGACGAGGCTGTAGTTACCATGTGGTGTAAATATATCTGCCAGGCTATGTTGAGGTATTGTCATATGCTAGCTCCTTATTTTGTGTGGGAAAATGGGAGAAAGTTTCTTAGACAATTCAGAAGAAATGCTAGCAACTGCTTTTTCCTTCTTGCATCAATTTTAGTATTTTTCCCTCCTAGTTTTCTACTAGACCAGAATTATGGCTGGATTCTTATCTCCTCCAAATGACCTGCATTAGCTCTTTTGGGATGACAGGTTCCAATTATATTTAGCTGCACAGTGAGAAAATGTCTTTTCTGTTTCTCTGGTTGCTTTTTTTTAAAAAAAAAAAAGATATGAACTGGCTTGGCTAGCACAGGGAGTGGTGGAGGCTGGGTCTCTGTGGCATCCACTCTGTGTGCAAAGCTAAGGGCTCCCTTTGGACTGTTTCAGACTGAAGTTGTGATGAAGCACTCCTTCCTTAGAAGTCGGAGGGAGCACATGGGTGATGCTGCCCTGTGTCTTAGCTGCACCAGTGACACTAAGGTGAAATTCTCGGATAGACTTTTGTTTGCTTTGTCGGCCTACTGGGGGAAACCCTGGGCCCTAGTTTTCTGCGCTATGGCCACTGTCCCAGGGGTAGGTGAAGTGTTTGAGGGACAGTTCTGCATGAGAGGGTTCTGCTAGGGCAGGCACGGTGGGATCATCCCATCTCAAGCCAGTGTTGTGAGAAGGAAGAGACTGAGCTAGTTGGAAGAGGTTCCTTTAAGTGCACAGGGGGAGAAGGAATGAAGGGAGTAAAAAGTAAAGAGTATGAAGAAAAGCATTTCACATTAAAGTTGTATTGACTGCATTCCAAGTATCCTGTTAAGGAATTTATATGCAATAACCTCATTGGATCCTAAGTTACAGGAAGTATATTCCCGCTAAACACACAGCTATTAAATAAATTATCATTGGTCTCCACAGTTGTCAAGAGGCAGAGGTAGGATTCAAAGCCCCCGTTGGTAACCACACAGCCTTGTGGGGAATGTTGACCACTTAGCCATCCAGGCCAAGTTCAACCCCTACTAAGCACATGTTAATAAGTGTTTAAATTAGTGGGGGTTAATTATCTAACTCTTTCACTAGGCATATGAGAAAAGATAGGGGAGGCAGTGGTAGTTGGTTCAAAAAAAAAAAAGTAAGTTTTTATTAGAGTTGACCTGAGACTAAGGACCAGCTTGCTGCCTTCAGAGCTGTTGGATATGTCCTTCTTTTGGAGACAATGCTCCTCTTTGCTGACCCTGGGCTGGGCCTCTACTATAGGAAAATATTCCCTGGGTTGCCTCAACTAGCTCACACCTGGGAGATGTGCTTTGTGCCCACCTCTAAGATAACAGGAAATTAAAAACTGGAACTAGGGACTCAGTCTTTGTTACCAAATGACAATAAGTTGCTAACCCATCACATTTGTTCACTCTCTGGAAACTTCTCTTTGTAAGGTCATCAATGGTTTCATCATTGTTAGATCCAAAGATTCTAGCTTTAAAAAATTAATGGTCCTTGATATTATTCTATACTGCCTTTTTCATAAAATTTCTCCTCTGGAGACATTACTCTTTCCTCATTGTACTTAGAGAGCTCTTTGTATTTTTACTTTATTCTAGCAAGGTTCTTATTCTGCTCGTCCCTTACATTTCAATGCTATGAGGAATTCAAACTTCACCTCCATTTCTCTTCTCTTCTAATAAATTACTCTTAAGTCACATTCTTCAAATGAATCAGCGTGTCTTCATAGTAAATACTCCAGTGGTTTTCACTTTACAACATTACCAGGTCTCTAGCATTCTTCTTGGCAACTCTAGCGAGTGTGAAGAAAGGGGTAAAACTAGAGTTAGATGTCTCCATTCAAGAGAAAGTTCAGGAAGATGAGCCAAGTAGAGTCCTGTTATGATAAAACTCAAGTAGATGGTGCCCGGCATTCTAGGGATGGATAGCATTTAGGAAGGAGCTTGGATCAGGTCATCAGGTCATGATATATTGATGAAGAGAAATGTACTCACTGTGTTCAGAAGGAATCAATGGACTCTTTATTTAGCTAATGTAAAGGAAAATGTATAATTTGTGACCTACTACTGGAGGGAAAGACTGGAGTGTTCTGGGTTCCCAGTGAGTTTGGGGGCTTTTAAAATCGGTGCACATTTACTGTACATAGTGATAGGTTCCATGAAGTCTATCATGTACCTTGGCTGTGTTCACCTCCACTTTCTATTTTCTTTCTTGCTCCCTCCTACTATTCCTATTCATTTCCTTAGACAGATTTATTTATTTTTGCTTTCATGTCAGATCCATAAAAAATGATTTTTTACAAAATATAGGATCTATAAATGAGAGAAAACATAACATTTGTCTTTCTGTGTCTGATGTCTTTTGCTTAATATGACGATCTTCATTGCATCCATTTCTGTAACCGACATAATTTTGTTCTTCCTTATGACTGAATAAATCTCTCTTACGTGTATATGCCACATTTTCTGTCCATCTGTTGATAGATACTGCTGGTTCTGTGACTTGCCTATCATGTCACATGTGTGTATGTGACAGTAAACCTAGGTAACTGCTATGGTGCATTGGCTTTGAGTCCTCCAGGTGGACCTGGAGGATGACATGACTGGTGGACATTTTTTCTTTCATGTTTTATTTTAAATTTTTGTTTTTTTTTTCTTTATTAAGAAAATTTCTACTCACTCCTCATGCTATCCACAGACCCCCTTCCTCCTACCTCCCAGCCCTCTTTCCCAAGCCACCCCACATCCCCACATCCCCCAAATTGAGGTCTCCATGGGGAGTCAGCAGAGCCTAGTCAGGTCCAAGCCCCTTCTCACTGCACCTAGGCTGTGCAAGGTGTCGCACCACAGGCACCAGATTCCCGGAAGCCTGCCCATGCACCAGGGACAGATCCCGATCCCCCTGCCTGGGTACCCCCCAAACAGTTCCAGCCAAACAAGACTGGTGGACATTTTTAAACACATCACTTCTTCCACGGTCTCTGACTCACGTGGCTCATTCACAAAGCAGTCTCGTTTTCCATGCCTACTTTCCATCACTGTTGTCCTGTAGTCTGACTAAAAACACATGAAAGGGGTGTATATCCAATTTTGTCCTTTTTAAAAATGGCTTTCTAATATTTTTCATGTATCAGAACACAATCATGAAAGACATTTAGGGGCTCTGGCCCTTCTGAACATCAATGGACCCTTGGTGAGTCTCTACTACCAGGAGATAGGTATGATGAACTGACCAGCAACCAGGTCACACCAATGTTTTCTTCCTGGGTGATTGCCATAGGTGAAAGAATTGAACAATGAACTCCCAGAAGCCCGGAGAGGGAGTCTAAGCTGGTTCATATCCACTGAGTCCTTCAAACTAAGTTTCTTTTTATACAATTAAGGGAATGCTGCTCATTTCCTAAAGTATGAATAGTATTAGATAAGAATATCAAAAATTCAACTTGCCATATGAAGAACTATTACCTTGAAGTAAGTTTAGGTTAATCTGGAGTATGTTAGAAGCAGAAATACTGGCACAGTGGAAAGACTGTAGGAGTCAGAGGAAGTGGATGACTTCAGTGAGACAGTATTTTTCAGATACATCAGAGCATTGTATACATGAACTCACAGTGGCCGTGACTGCACGCACAAGACCTGTGTAAGATAAGGCCAGATGAAAACCCCAATACGAATGGAGGAAGGGGACATGAAGTCCTTCCCTTCGCTGAGAAGCTATTGCCAATTGTTGGCTGCTGTGAGGAGAGTCAGTTTCTTCAGGGATGTGGCCCCGGAGAGGCTACCCAGCTTCAGTAGATGACCCTACATCCATGCACATACTGGCAGCACTAAGTGGATTCGCTGTGTTTCAAAAAGAACATATGGATGTGGGAAGGTAAAGCAATGGGAGGACATGAGGGAAACTGGAGGAGAGGAAATGGAGGTGGAATATTCAAAACACATGGTGTTCGTGTATGAAGTTCTCAAGCAAAACTATTGGTGAAGAAGATTAGGCTGTGTGGCCGGATCCGGTCACTTCCTAGGTCACTTTTCTGCTGTGTTAAACGTCAACCTCTTCTCCACGAAGAGGGACATTCTTTTCTGTCTAGATCACTGGGCAGAGAAAAGAATGATTCCATTTATCTTTAAGGCAAATTTGAACTTGGCTCATTTTCTTTTTCTCTCCTTACTTTACTCCTTTTTCTCTATCATTCATCTCCCTTCTCTTTCCTTCCTTCCTTCCCTCCCATTCTTAAATTCTATAAATGATACAATTGCACAGTTTTGAAATCATAAGCCTAAAATTTCAGAAACTAGAGAAGCCCTGCGAGATCTCCCTCCTCTGATTTTTCAGTTGAGGACATTGTGGTGCAGGGACTGGGACACGGAGTCAGATCTGGGCATCTCCAGTTTCTTCCTAATTCCTTTATGTCTGTCTTAGGGAAGAAATGGGGCCCAGATACTGTGAGAAGGAACTCTATTCCTTCATAGGATGCTTGTTTGTTTTCTCCTTATGAAGGTTCCCCAAGCCAACAGAGAGCCAAGTCGTGATTATCTTTCCGTTCACTCACCCACAAACAGCTGGCTGTAGAGTTCCAGGCGGGTGTGACCTTCCGTCGGGGCCTTGCGGATCTGCTGGGGCAGGCGATCCACCTGGAGACTGGCCTGTTTGACATTCCTCTCTGCGGTGACCCGATGCCACTGGTCATCATTGAGAGGGGAAGGCGACCTCACCACAATCTCCACTGGCCCGTTTCCAACATCAAATGAAAAGGACACTTCTGTGGCAGCTGGAGGAGCAGAAAGTATGAAAGATACATGAGTTTATGTCTCCTAGATACCAAATAGCAGTGAATTGTAGGGGAATGTTACGCAGGTCAATGGCCAAACCACTGGAGGAAAAATACACATGAATTCATTATTTGCACTAACCAAGAAGAAGAAAATAAATTTCTTTTGGGGGGTGGGCAGGGTGGTTCTGTGTGCCAGGCATACATTTATTTAATTTCCTTATTAACTCTGTAGAAGACTTCTAAGAAGGTACCATCATCAACTCTTTCCAGATAGGGAACCTGAAAGCCAGTGAAGCTGGCAGCAAGATACACTTGTGGACAGAGGTGCAGCAGTGGCACTCCTGTCTTTGTGATACGAACTCTAATTGGATTTAAGCTCCACTCAACAGGAGGGCAATCATGCCCGGTACTGGACATTTAGCGAACTACCTAGGGCTAGTGAAGTCATAGGTCCTGAGGAGAACCTTCTACTGCTACTTTAGTAGACCAGCAGAAATATTAACTGCATTCTAAATACTTATCCTTAGACCTACAGATACGCACAGTTCTCATCAAAGAAGCTTCTCTTTTGTGTCAGATGGAGACATCGCAGAAAATCACAAATGGTTAAAATACAGAGAGTAACTAGTGGTGGGGTGTCCAGCCCCACTTGATACGTCTGCGGTACAACTCCTGTTCCTAAGGCTCAGGGAACACCAAAGAAGAGCGCAGAAAGCTTATTAGGGTCAGAGGGCCCAGAGGTCTGTTGTAAGATTGTGCCTCCTAGAAATGGCAGGGAAGCTATGCCTGTGATACCACAACGATATGGCTGCCTAATTAAGATCTGAGCAATCACAACACCAATGGATGCCTCATGGGGCCCAACCTCTAGACGAAGAACTACAGTCAAATAAGCATGCCGAGAGTGGTGGAAATAGTCTTCCCTAGAGATGAGCCTTATAATTGGTTATCCAATACTGAGTGGCCAGCCCTGAAGTCATGTACATACAAGCAACACTAATCAGACTCATCAGAAGGTATGTGAGTGAATGTGTGCACACAAACCCCGCCCCACAACACAATATTAATCATAGAAAAAGAGGACATGAATTTCAGAGGGATTTTGCTTTGTGTATGATATAGGAGGGGTTGAAGCGGGGAAGATATGGAGATATGGGAAGGGTAGAAGGAAAGAAAAGGAAGGGAAAATGATATAATTATATTCCATATGGGAACTTTTGGGACTCCAGTACCTGGACTAGACATGTATTTCTCAAAGCTCCCCAGGAAATGTTACTGTGGAGCTAGAATTGAGAACTATTGCTTTAAGAGAGCTTACAAAATTATGTCATTAATCTTCATAGTCCTTATTGAACATTAGGGTTATGAGTTATTCAGGCATTGCTGGCGAACAGCATCTTTCATCTGGACCACTAGTAGCTGTCTCAAAGGCTGCATAGCACTTCTGCAGCATAACCCCCCTCTGCATGATGCTGCGAACCTGGGCTAGTTCCCATCTGGGATACTGGATCCTGCTCCCAACCTCCCTGCCAGCACTGACCACAAATCATTCTTGCTTCCAGAGATCTCTTCTGCCAACTCTGTTTTGCAACAAATCACCTTCCAACAATAGGCGAATGGGTTTGATGGTTGCTTTGTCAAATTTACTCATAAGCAGCATTTTTATTTCACATTTTAAGCTTTATATGAGGTCCCTCGGTGGCCACCCAGTGCTTTATAAACACCTTTTGAATGTATATTTTCTCAGGACTGGCAGGGAAGGAAGCTTTCTGCTGAAGCAGCACACATGTCTTGCATTCCCTTAGGCTTGGGGAATTCTTTTTAGCATTAAAGATGTGGTATACCAGTGAGTTTCCCCAGCTTTGCGTGTAGAGATATCCACTCCTCTATCCATCAGGAAGCCTTCTGCCTAATCTCTAAGCCGGTTAATTAAATATCTGTCATTTTTTTCCAGGGCTAATGGAAAATTCAGTTTCTTTGGGACAGTGTCACAAGCAATCAAACTTCTAATTTAAAAACCACAGTGGGCCAGATTCTCTCAGGGGCTCCTGTGTTCCCTGCCTCTGTGTTGGGGTCTTTGGAAAGCTGCAGTAACTTTATTGAGCTACAGGGATATTAGTTACAGAGCTCAATTTAATCAACCTAATTGTACCAAGGAATTTTGATCCTTTATGTCATTAGAAAGAGAACCTTCATTTTAACACCTGCAGTGATTGCATGCGTAGTCCAGTAAAACATCTCATCCAAATTAGAAGCCCCTGCCTCCAGGATCATTGTGACAGACGTAACATGCAGGCTAGTGACCTCCATCTCAGTTGCCATGGTAGTAGGATGGCAATTCAGGTAGACCATCACGTGACGGCAGACTCAGGAATCCTTCTGGATGGATACAGTGGATGGGGGGGAGGGAGGGGAAGCAGCCCAGGATTCAGATGAAATCTGTTCTGGTCTGTTGTGCACGTGAGCAGGTGCATTCCTAAACATGAGTCATCAGAACAGCAGGAGAATGGAGGGCTCCTGGGCTAAGTGGGAAAGATTGTTTTGCTTTAAAGGAATCAACTGCCATCAGGGAAATAGAATTTAGTGATAAATTGAGTTTAACCCTCAGGTTCAACTTGAAGGGATAAACACTGGTCTAATTTCCTCAGCTACTATCCTTTTGCTATGACAAATTCTTGTCTGGGTCTTAAGCTGTCACCATTTGGAGAAATTCTGAGCACCAGCAGATTCTGGGAAATGTCCTCAGTTTTTACACCCTTTGTCACGATAGGTCTCTGCCTATTCTCTTGACCCCATCCTCTTTGATTTTTGAACTATTTATTTATTCTTTGAGAATTGCATACCTGCACACAATGATTTTTGATCAGAGCCCCTCAACAACTTCATGTCTTTAAAAATTATATAATCTGTGAACTGGAGCATGGTCAACATACCAGGATCACACCCCTAAAGAAAACGGACTCTCTCCCCCATAGCAGCCATCAACCGTCAATACCTCCCTGGCTAGGGGAAGGGACTCGCCTAGTTCGGGTTACTCCACTAATCGTGCTGAGATGTTGACTGGTTTGATCTGGTGCAGGTTTTATACAGGAAACCACAGCGGCTGTGAGCATATGAGAGCAAAGGTCTTCCTGTCAAGTCCACGAGACACGTTTTCTCCAGTCCTCCCCAACCTCTGACTCTCACAACCTTCCTTTTGTGTGATGTGCTCTAAGTCTCGAGGGGAGGGGCTGTGAAACAGACTCCCATGTATGACTGAGTGAAAGACCCCAGCATACTAGCTTAGCCTAACGCCATTTCGGGTAAGGCCTGAAAAGCACGGGGAAAGTTCAGTTAGAGGACATGGGCACAGAAACAAAAGGGGTATCTACGGTCGGCCACCTGGCCCCAGAACAGGGTACTAAAGGTCAGAAAAACAACTTGTAACCAAGCCTGCAGGCGTGTCGAGCTCGGGGGAAAAACCACGAACTGTCCTGAGTTTGAACCTGGCCTCATTTGAATCGTCCAATCAGAACCCTGTAAACCATGCTTCTCGCTTCTGTACCCGCCCTTCTGCTGCCCGACCCTATAAAAACCCTCCACTCCAGCCCGTCGGCGCGCCAGTCTCTTGAGCCTCTTGAGGGACTGTGCTGCCCCGGGTACCCGTGTTCCTGAATAAAGCCTCTTGCTGTTTGCATCTGACTTGTGGTCTCGGTGTGATCTCTGGGCGAGGGTCTCTCCAGAGGGAAGACTACCTTCGGGGGTCTTTCATGAGCACACCATGGTTGCTTTTGCTCTGTACTTGACCAGTCGTGAGTCTCTAAATTAACTGCCATCCACTGCACAAAAGCGCTCCTCTGAAGAGGTCTGAGAGCTGTGCTCATCCATGACCCCTTCGCTCATCCATGACCCCTGTGCTCTTAACAGTAATCCTTTGCTCTCGAGAAGGAAGGAAGTTTTCCAGGACCTGGCTGACGCTCCTCGCTCCCATGAGGGCGTAGGAAGAGGGGCTCAGGCACAGGGCTGTCACAAATAGCGCAGTTCCGGGACTCTCTCTTCTAGCTCTGCTGCAGAAGATGAAAGGGAAGGGAAGGGGTTCTCCCTCTCAGTCACTCAGTGCCGGTTGCCCTGACACCACTAAGGGACCCCTTTGAGAAATCCCTTCTCCCAGACAGACAGCCAGTGTGCTTTAAAAGCTTCTAGCATTCAGTGTGTGGCTGATTGCCCTTGGCCTTCTGGGTGAGAGCAACTGACATTTCAAGAAAGATAATTACAGAGAGTCAGTGAGCGAATAAAGAGAGGCAGCAGAGGAGACACCAGAGCCAATGACACTGTTCAGTTAATGTGTGTCTTCACTTGGAGGCTGAAGTGCCGCTGCCTTGTCTCTGTCTGTAGGAAAGGGATTTCTTACATAATGAAGATATTCCCAGAAACAAGCCTTTGAGAGTGGGGTTACATATAGCATGACTCACTGGAAAGGATGCAGATAGCAAACATGAATGATTGCCTTTCCAGGACTGTTGAAGACTGCTTTGGCTTTTTGTTTTTTTTTCCTTCTCTTGAAGCTAATAAGTTACTTGGTCACAGTTTCATGAAACAGGCAGAGGCTCCTGGGTCAGAGACAAAGGACTTGTGGTAATAACACAGCAAGCAGCGTGGGCTTCAGGCTCGTCCTGGTTTCTCTTGCCCCTACCCGGAAGTCCCAGAGTCAGCCAGGCGGGGGCTGCACCGGAAGTAAGCCTGCTGCGCACCGGAGGGAGGGAGGGACTCTGCACTCAGAAACCCTGGATCTTTCATGGCGCTCTTGGCAAACCTACCTCACTTTGGGCCTTGGAGAGGCACTGTTCATTATTATCCTGGTCATGAAACAAATCTAGCCTCTGCCTTGGGGGAAGGCACCCTCTCTGTCTTCTACCTCTGTCTGTCCACCCTCATAACCTTAAAGACGTAAGAACAAAGCTACCATGCCTCCTGCTTAGAAGACAGCCAGAATGGGAAGACCTGTGGAGAGTTTTCTC